AGTTGTAAAATATGTGGGTAGTATTGAAAAGTTATAAAAGTTGATGTAAAAGAGAATATTCTGGGAATATTCTTTTGGGTTTGAGAATTAGTTTTTCGGTTGGAGATGAATTACTGCAAAATAGTATAGCTACTGCAAAATGGGTTTGAGTTTGAGTTTTTCGGTTGAATATGGCCTAAGGTGTGTGAGAGACTAGTATGTGCTTGTGTGTGTGTGCGTGTGGTGGTGTGTGGGTGGTGTGTGGTGTGTGTGGTGGCGTGTGGTGTGCGTGTGTAGGGCTGGGTTTGGATGTCTACATGGCAATAATAATGGAGTGTTGGTGAGTTGGTAATTAGTAGGGTCCCACATTTCATAATAAAATGTCCAAAATCTTCTTAATGAGTATATAAATGCTGGAATTTTTATTACCGTTGGATCATTGGATCCAATGGCTATTATGTATTCTTATTTCTTTCACTATGCATTTTTTCACTGGAAACCAACCCTTTATACATATATATATATATATAGAGAGAGAGAGAGAGAGATTATGTATATATATGTAGAGAGAGAGAGAGATTATGTAGATTCATTTTTTAAAGGAATCAAATCTCTACGTGAAGAGGACACGTGGCACGACCTGATTGGTCCATATTGCATAACCGTCTTTGACACACCTTCAATATGTATTGTACGATCAGGCAGGCCGGACAACATTCTAGAAGCAGGTACCTCACCTATATATAGAGGGGTGAGACTTTCAGGATGACATTTTCTATTATACTATTGAAAATTGAGTAGAGCTTATATTTACTTATACATCGGAGACTCTTCACCAGAAAACTTCTCCAGTGTGAAAATTTTTGCAGGTATCCGGCGTTCTACCGATGAGGAAGACAAATGCGAGTCGATTTTCATCCGATTGGAGTGTTCGACGTTACCACACAGCTTCAAACTTCTATATTTTATGTATTCAAGCTGATTTTTATAGAAGCAACATAAGAGAACAGAAATTCCTTTCCATGTCATTTGCCATTTTATTCCTAGCAAAATGGGGGTAACATTTTGCCATACAAACTCACATCTAAAAAAGCCCGAACAGAAGTTGTATTGAAAATTAATGCTCATAAATGAAAAATCAGCATGGCTCAATTATTTGACAAACGCAGCAGAGCATAAACACTACATTACATGCTTATAGAGTTATACCTATATTACCATAATTCACACAGTTAGGGTACATTGGGACACTACGGAGCTTGTACGTTCATATCATACATTAGAACCAGAAATCAGTAGATAACCCGCCTTCTTCTTCTAGTTCGCCTAACGGGCGACGTATTTTCACCGTTGCCAGGAAATTCCCAGCGGGCAATCATTCCATCCCATGAGGAGCTCACAATCATCGGGAAGTGAGGGTGCCAATTGCAGTCACGTACAACATCGTCATGGTAATTGAGTTTTGCCACTCGATCACCACTTAACTACACAGGCCACAAATCAAGTTCCAATTTCAACACGATTACAAGGAGAAAAAGATAAAATAAAAAATGGAGAAAAAAATATTATGAAGAGAGAACAAAAGTTAAGTTCATACCACGTCGTAAACATAAACGGAGGAATCAGCTGATCCTGTGTAAATATACTTTTGCCCGGTACTGTAAAAGCCAACATACCGGAATGCAAGTCAAAAACATTAAAATGCCCCCATGCAAAACACACACTGGTGTAAAAATTCCAATCTAATAATCATTAATAATCATATACAGGTTCTTTAAAAAAAATAAATAAATAAATAAATGAAAAAATAAGAAAAGAAAAATCACAAGATACAGTTTTATTCACACAATTTGAACTCATGATTCTGAGAAAGATTTTTCAACTATAAAGACATTGCATAACAAACGGCGCACAAATTTATAGCAAGAAAATTATGTAGTAAGCATATTCACCTATAGTCTGGCGAGAAATAACAGCGTATGAGAGTGCGCAATACAGAATGGCCTCTATATGTAGCCAGTGACAGGTCAGCATGATGTCTCAAATTTTTCGCCTGTTGTGGATATTCCATCCATCGGTAGTCCCATTCTTCATAGCGGCGTCTTGGGGTGCTGAATCAAGATTAAAAAAAAATATAATAATAAAAAAAAACGTATTAATGCATTAAATAGTTAAAGATTCACCAGTGTTTAATTTCTTTAATCACGAGACCCAAGCGGCCACATATTGTTTACAAAATACTATGCACCATTTTAAACCACTTGAAAAGGCATATTATATATCGAAAGCAGCAAAGAGTAATGGAACATGGACCGTACTAATTGACATTAGATGACATTTTCCTTATATCCCAAAGTTTGAGGGCTTGATCTTTTCCATTTGAGATGAGGTAACGTCCATCTCCACGCGAATCAATGAATGTAATGCCTTCTAAATGTCCTATTAGAACACCGACGGCTTTCCCCCTCGATGCAAAGCATCGCCTATCCCAAACCTGAAACGAATCAACAAATAAAATTACTTGCAACTTAATTAATTTATGGATATACGGTAAGTTGTGGGTTTATTATCTGCATTTCCAAAGCTTTTTAACTCTTTATGGTCTACAACTTGATTTAATCCAAAAAAGGTACCATTTTTGTAAGATGATGCATGATACTTCACTGCCCATGACATCTTTAAACTGCAATCAATGCCTGTTCTAACGATTTACATAATTTATTACAAATGATAAAACATCTATCGTAAAAAATTTAATTTGATTCAGGAAAACTGATCTTGAAGGATAACTAGTTTCAAGGCTTTCGATCAAAAGGTTGTTCTCTTCACGTCAATGTCTCAATCATAAGGTGCTGAGTTATTTTGTTTTACATTCAGATATGTAAATAGTGCACATTACGCTGCTCCAATGAAACGCGTGTAGAGTGTAGACATTCATCCCTTCCATACTATAATTAATGAAACTAGGTATGTTTTGTGGTTGCTCTAACTCAATTGACGAAATAGAAAAGAAACCGACAGTCAAAACTTCAAAATTTCAATTTATTATGCTCGCAAATAGAAATTACTTTGCAGAGGTGATCGTCACTGCCAGAATATATGATGTTGCCACTCTCATCAGCAAAGCAAACAGCATTGACATCAGACTGCCATAAATAAAACCAAATGAAATTACAAGTAGTCTGGAGTTATATGATTAGTTATTTAAAAATATTCGATTTAAAGTAGACATAAAGTTCGTTATACGTAAAAGTACAGTACCAGATGAGCTGGGATTCTGAGACTTAGCCTTTTTGATTCAAGATCATAAACATATATTGATTCATCACTACAGGCCGCTACAAGTTCTCGCCCATCCGTAGAGAATTTAACGGAAAAAATGCCAAAAGAATAATCATCATAATCATCAACTTGAGATGAGAACTCCAGGCCTTCATGAATTTCCTGATTGAAGTAAATGATACATTTGCTTTTAAACTAGGATTAGAGAAACAGAGAAACCTATAACCATCCAAACGAACCCAGGGCTACACAAAATTAGTAGATTTCATACATAAAGCTTCCCAAAATTTCTAGACAGTTTTATTCAAACAGTGGAATGTGCAAACTGATTGAATGCATTACAAAGATGATAGAACAACTGCCAATGCATACCATCAACAATATGTAGCAAATGCTCTATAAGTGTCACGTTTAACAGTCATTTTGCTTTGTCGATAATTTAACTCGTTAACTTTATAATTACAGTTAAAAGGCAAACAATACCATGATACCATCAATATTAATTTTTTTCAAATGGCATTCAAACCTCAAACCTCTGCCTCCTAATAGAGTCTCCAATACCACTTGAGGTAAGTTGTGTTATAAGACAACCGCAATAATTCCCATTCAATCCAAGAAAAAATGGAATTCTTTGAATCAATAACCAGGGGCTATTAGCATATTGGAATCAAAGCTAGAACAAAGTACATACTATAAGAAACGACTTATAATTCTATCCAGCTAATAGTCAGAACCTTACCGTCACATTTGCATGAGAATCCTTTGTAGCTGATCCAATATCAACGATATGGACGACAGGTGTTATGCTGGAATAAACCTGTCAAATTGCTATATTAAACAAAATAGAAATAACATACAAATTGCAATGGGAAGCAAGTGTCACCCATATCTTAGCCAACACAATGAACTCAATATCCTTTCTCCAAATGGAAAAAAATAACAATCAAATAACTCCTAAGCATATCTATAACCAAATAGATACGAAAACTCAGATTTGAGACACGTGGAAGCTTACAAGAAAACGGCGATCAGGCGAAATAGATGTATCAGTAATAGTCCACCTCAAGCTCTTTGCAAGAATGTTTTTACGCACTTTCCATCCCATATCGACATCATATATTCTAATATGGCTTTCCTGTATAGGGAAATAGACGATGCAAAACTAAATCAACAAATTCAACAACTAACGAATACAAGTCCGGAAAGAACAACTAGAATATCCCATTTCCCCCTAATACCTGAAACCCGGCAACGAACAGAGACCCGTCATCCGAAAACTGAGATACATATGCACAGCTATTCATCCTATCAACCACTGAGGGACTGTGAATGGGCAGGTAACGGCTCAACACGTGACAAGAGTCCGATGACGAAAATCTCCCCCTCCCGCTGTAGTTGCATTCCCTGCCCGCCAGCATCTTCACGGGCGAAATGGGTAGTTTGGCCCTGCCGGGCAGCACATTGCTCAATCGCTCATGTGGGGCCGACTTAACCTTTGTAAGCTGTGAGAATTCGTTATCAGTACAGCCCTGCAACTGAATTCCACGCGATCCTCCTGGCTCATTTACGCCGTCTCTGGAGTAGTTTCTGGACCGACTCATTGTCCCAATATCAATATTTCTAAGAAGACTGAATGATTATATGTACTATATTCGCTTCAAATGCACTCTTCATTACAGAAACTAAAGATATTCAAACCCCTTCACCAAATTAAATTCCTGCAAAAAGACAGGTACGCAGTTGTGAGTCATTCATAAAATCCTCGAAACAACAGGCATAGTTAGAACACACAACTAACTTCATACAAAGCAAAATCACACAAATTAGGAAAAACGAATGGATGATAGCAAAAATTGAGGAATTAAGCCAGGAGATTCAGATAAAGATTATTTCCAGCTATACCATACCTATTCTGCTGTACAGAGATCAGTATGATCAGAGCCTTTGTAATTAATTTTTTGAAAAATCGGAGAGTGAAACTTAAGTTTTCAACTTCTTGTGTTCACTTTGGAAGATATATATATATATATGCAGAGACATGAGAAGGCAGTAGCATACGTCACCCGTGACGCAGGGATTCCAAAAAAAAATGGCATATATTGGAAAAAAAAAAAAGAGGTGGAAATAAATAAAAAGCACGTATTCCTTGAATACGACTTTTGAAAAAATTATTTGGAAAACGTATTCCGTGAATACGTTTTCCTTTGTAAAAAAAAAAATGTAAAAACCGTATTCAGTGAATACGTTTTTTAATTAAATTATATAAGAAACGTATTTTGTAAATACGTGCTTTTTATGTTGGTCCACTCCCCTCCTTTTTTTTCTGTTTTTTGTCCACTTATTATTTTTTTATTAACAAATATGTAAATTGTTAATTCAGATTAATTAGGTTTCTATCAAGATCTGTTGCTAAACCCTAATGACAAGAAATCTGTAAATCATTTCTACGGAAAGTCTGTTTTTTGCTCCCTATTTAAGGTAAATAGCTCTTTCTTCTTTTTGTATTTTCTCGTTGATGGCCAACGAGACGGCCGACCTTCCACGGTTTGGTTGGAAACCGGGTGTGGTTCACGCGCACAATATCAAATGGACTAAAATACATAAGTAATTTTTTATTTTAGTTTTTTTTACGGAAGAATATTATATAATAAAACGCACAAATGTGCAAACATATAACTCAGAAGTTGAATAAGACAACTCAAAGCTCAGAAAAATGGGAGGACATGTCTGACGACCACCTAGAATTCCGCCCCTAGCAATGCTAGAAACCAAAAAGAAGACTCACTAAACAACAACACAACAACTACAAAAACTACAAAGAAAAGAGACCTAGTTACTGATGATATTATATAGGAGTCCAAACCCACTCTTGTGTCTATTTTGGACCCAAGTACAAACTTGCCCAGTTAGCAATTGTTCACAATTTTTTTAACAGGCAAAACATATTTTTTTTGTATGCATTTATTATTACTATATTTTTATTGATTGTTTGGTATTCTAGACCTAGTACCTTTTTGTTTTGCATTGGATAGATATTGAATTTTTTAGCTTGGATTTGTCCATGTGACTTACGTTTATTTATTTACCACATATACAAAAGAGACCCAAAGCATTGTGGGCATAATTTTTAAACCCTGCCCGGTAATCGACCCGGGCAGGTCTCCGAGTTACCGGGTCACCGGTTCAACCGTCGGATCACCAGGTCAATTTCTGAACCGGATAATTAAATTTAATTTTTTTTAAATTATATAATACAAGTGTAAACGCTGACCAGCTGGAAACCGCTCCAAGATCGTCTTCCTCACTGGTAGAATGTCGAACCTGCAAATAACTCTCAAACCGGGGGGTTTTTCCGGTGAAGAGCCTTCAACGCTTAAGTCAGTCTTGAGAAGATGAAGAATATGTATGGAAAAAATGTAAGTATGAGAGATTATGCTAAAAACAAGAGATCTCGTCCCTATTTATAGGGACGAGTTACTTGCTTCCACGCGCGGCCTGGGCGAGTCGAGCTGGTTATCCTCCCTGCTCGTCCGTACAATCGCCTGCCTCCACTATCTTGGTGTCAGAAACGCGTCAAGATGTGTCAGGGGATGTTAGAGACTGTTATCGCTCTGGACCACTCGTTGTGTGTCGCATGTCCCTCTTTCACGTGTTGGAGATTCCTTCTGAGATCCTGGGGTTTCAACCATATATGACACAATCGCGGAGCTATCCATATGATAAAGAGTAGTCGACTTCCTGACCACCCTGCCTCGACCATCTGATTCTTCGACCAGTGTCCAGTGCAGCGAGTAATCCTCCAATGCTACTGAATCCGTCCATCTTCGACTTCTCGTCTCTGTTGCTTAACAACTACTCAATTGGACCCGGCCCATCGACTTATTTTAAACTGGTTGACCTGGCGAACCGGTCCAGTATACAATATCCCATATCATTATATATAGAGTATTTTTGTCATATAAATATGCGTAAAAGTAACATAATTAAATGTTTTGTGTATGAAATTTGTACATTAAAGTGTTAATAATATGTATCTCATTATAAATATTTACCATATAAACATACATACATAGTTTTATTTTTAAAAACAAAAAAAATTAAAAATAAAAAAAAAATATTAATATGGGCCGGGTCAACCGGGTTGACCCGACCGGGTCAAGGCTGGATTTTGAACAAGTTTGACCTGGTCCTTTGTTGCCCGGTCCAAATAGCCCACCCAGACCGATTCCGACTCCGGGTCAACCCGCCAGGCCGGTCCGGGTCAAAAAACTATGATTGTGGGTGCTCTAAATATTCGAAAATATAACATGAATAATTTGAAGACTACGTTTTAATTACTACCTAATTTTAATCTTTAATATTGATCAAAATATGGTAACATAAACTTCTTATATTTAAATAAGTTTTGTTTAGTAAGACGAACTTTTTTAAACAAACTAGAGCTTATCTCATAAGGTTCTTTGGGTAACTTTTTAAATAAGCTTGTTCAGTTTTTTATTCCACCTAACATATCAGCTAATTTTATCAAACACTTTTGTCATATAACCTAATTTTTCAGCTATAAGTCATAAGTTATAAGCCATAAGCTTAAAAATCACTTAAAAATTATAAGCTAGTTTATCAGCTAATTTTACCAAACATAGCAAAAAACATTCGTTAATCTCCCAATGGCAAAATGAGCAAGGGATTCAAAGAACTTTTACTAGTTGTGGTCAAACTTGTGCACTTTAAAGCATAAATCCATAAATGAAGATAGAATCCAATTATCTACATATTTGATATGACGGTAGTGGAAATCCTGCATCCTCTGGGTGTTTCAGAAAGTGTGGATGCCATAACATATTGTAGTCAAGAATGCAGTCCAATAATGGAGGGAATTCAGGTCAATAGTTCCTTAGGATTATCCTTTGGCTTGTTGTGGTTGATTTTCTGTACAAAACATGTTTAGTCTTTGTAGTTGAGTTGTGTCTGTTTTTTAGTAGTTATAGTTTTTGTTGCCGATTTGCGTTTTCCTATGCTTTTAGTTGCGTGTGTATGTTTGGATTAGCCTATTAGGGGTCACTGAAGATGTCAACTTCTTGAGTTGTCTTTAGTTGATGATCATTGCAGTCAGAGGTCTAGGCCATCTTAGAATGGTTCTCTCATATTGCCCGACTAGTGATAGATTATTGTGATGTAATTGAACTTTGTGAATTCTGTTTAGTCTATGAGACTCCTATCGCTTGGAAAAAAAAAAAAAAAAAATCTCCCAAAATTATTTCCAAATCAAGTCATCCGTTGATCTCGCAAAATTATTTCCCAAACAAGTCGTGGCGTAGGATTTTCGACTAAGGCAACCAACCATATATGATCTTCACTACATTTCTTAAAGTAGCGAAATGATCGTACGAGGCATATATATTTTTTCGTCTTGGAAAATTTGGCTTGCTTCTCAAATTTGGTATCCATCTTCATGAATTGATGAAAGCTTGGATTTCTTCAAGTGTTTTTCCTTTTGTCTCCGGCACAATCTTTGCCACGAACACGACCGTCAGGGCACAGAATGCAGCATACGTCATAAACGTGCCTGCATTTTTTTTTCAAATTGAATAAAAAAATTATTTAATTCTTTTCTTACCGAAAATATTTGTTTTCTTCGCAAAAAAAATAAAATAAAAATAAAAATAAATGAAAATGAAATTAAATATTCGAATAATTAGCATATTTAATTACATTGTTATTAATTACCAGTGGAACTCCATGTCATGAGAAAGTTGAAAGTGTAGGATATAATCCAGGCGCCTAACCAGTTGATCAGAACCACCAAGCTCCCGGCAACACCTTTTACATGAATTGGGAATATCTGAAAGATGCACATCTTAAGTGTGAAATTTCATTATAAATAAATATCTTCATATTTATTGAGTAGCAGCCATCATCCCGGCCGGTTCACGACCCGGCCCAGCCCGCCGTGTCGCCAGGCCTCAAATATTGGGTCCGAAACCGGCCCGACTACATACAATGAACTGGCCCAACCCGTTCGGGTATTTTAATAAAAAATAAAAGAAAAATAGAAAACAACTTGGACCTGGTGGCCGACCCAGAACCGACGGGTCCGAAAGGAAAAAAATTGACCCGAAACTAGCTCGGTCTTACCACGGGTCCAATTCCAAGACCAGTAGATCCGGCCCGGTTTCGGGCCAGGTCGAGAACATGTCTAGGTCCACACTATATATGTTTGAACATTGAATTGATGGGAACATGAGAATTACCTCTGACATCATCACCCATGGAACTGCGCCCATTCCTATTGAAAATGCTGTTATATAAACCTGATCACATTTATAAAATTTTCAATATTCTTTTTCATAATATATAGGTTTTCAATATATAACTAATTAAATTACTACTATAATAACATTAATGAAAAAAATTGAATATACCAGTATTCCAGAAACGGCTAGCATGGGAACAAATTCCATCAATAGACCTTCACCCTGAAGATATATGGACATATATACCAATAACCGAATCATTAATTATTTAATCAATTAATCAGCATTCTTAATTAAGATCAAAATTTAAAATAAAATAAAAAAATGATTTCAGAAAATCACCTTGAGCAAAAAAGAAGATCCTGCCAGGAGGCATCCAATAAACGTCCCTGTTGCCGATATCTGAAAAATAAATAAATTCAATTTGTGTTTTGACAACAATTTTATTTATATTTTTAATTACAAATATTCCACCTTTCATGATTTATAAATAGTTCATTTATAATTTAATTCTGTAATTGATTTATAAATCGTATTGATTTTTGGTATATGACTCGTTTATGAATTATTTATGCATAATTATATTTGGTATTTACCATTAAAAGTGGTCTTCTTCCTGATTTATCCATCAACACTGCCCCAATCACTGTTACTGGCACCTACAAAAAATTATATTATATATATTATATTATTATGGTGATTGCTTAAACATATTTATATTTAGACAAAATATTTCAAAAATATTTAAAATATGAAATAAATGTTTTGGAGCCAACCTGAATGATGGCATATAAAATTGTTCCCATTTTTCCTGAAGAAAAACCTGTTGCATATATGTTCATGTTTTCAAAAAACGAAGGGAGCTGCTATAGTCTCGTTACGGAACTATTCATGTAACCGTCAGAAATAGTTGATCTAACGGTTACATATCCCTACGAATTGATTCCATTACGGGACCGTAGCACTAACTGTGACGAATTCAAAAGAGCTGATCAGTGTTTTTTTTTTTTACCAGCAGCTACAAATGTTTCACTGGTGTAAAATCCGACTCCATTTATCCCTCCAAATTGTTGGAAAAACATTAACCCAACACCAACCTGAAACAAACACAAATCCCATTTGAGATTTTCATTGATGTTTATATTATAATGTTTAGACAATAAACTCCACGTATAACTTCGATTTTACATTAAAAATTCATAATTATTGAATTACTATATATACTTACTACGAGAGGACGAATATACTTGGCATCAAATAGTTCAAAAATGCTAACATTAGGAAGATCTCTCAGAGTATCAAAACTTGCCTGTCACCAAAAAAAAATATTCAAAATTTAATCACAATTATTACGAATTGTTTACTGTTAATAATATTAATAATTATATTTCACTAATTATATATGTACTTGAATTTCTGCAGCTTCTTTGGAGACATTAGCGTTTTTGCCTCGGAGTTTGCGTAAAGCCAGTTCAAATTCTTTGTGACGACCAATTTTCGCCTGAGAAAAACATAATAATTAATTTGTTATCAACATTTATCTAATATATGCTAACAAAAAAAATATTCAAATTTATATATTATATTTTTAAATAATATGGACAAATTTGATTGAAGCTAACCAGCCATCTGGGGGACTCTGGAATGAAAAATAGGCCCACAAGAAGTAAAAGACAAGGGAGTAGTCCTAAACATTCAAATATAAATTAAAGGCAAAAAAACAGCAATTATTATTCAAAATGTCAGTATAAATAATTATAAATATGTATATATATAATTATAATTATTATGTTGCATACTTTTTTTGGTCATTATATTTAATTTTATTTTTTATGCTTAATATTCTGAAAATTACCTGTTAGTGCTAAAGTTCTCCATGTTACTACTGTTCCTATTATATAAGCAGTAGAAGATCCCGTCACAATCATTAGCTGTACAAAGGTCCACAAAAAAATAAAAAATAAATAAATTATTAAAAAAATAAAAAATATTTATTTAATTTATTATTTAATTATGTGAGACTTGTTTTTAACCTGATTTAGTGTTGCCAGTCCTCCACGAAGATTTTTAGGTGCAATTTCAGAAATAAATACTGGGACCTGTTGCATAATATATGTTAAAATCATATATAAATGTTTTTTCAATTTATGGAAAATCAAACTAAGGCATAAAGTTTGGGGAAATACTACGGTCCCGTTACAGTTACAAATTCCAATGGAATGGTTCCGTAACGGGACCTAGCATTTCCCTAAAGTTTGAATAAAAGAAGTAATAATATTTACCACATAAGAGAATATTCCAATTCCATACCCTGTGCAGAACCTCCCTATATCAAGTAAGTAGGACTCCTATATAATTTCATCAATAAAAAGGACCAAACTAATAATTATTAATAATATATAGTAATAATCATAGAAAAATGTGGTCAGCATAAATTTTTTCATAATTTGAAGGAAAATAGTTTTCTTGGTGTCATAATTAAAATTACCATTGAAAAACAGACTGCAAGCCATCCTGTGATGCAGAAAACAGCTGACATTCTCATTGCCTGTTTCACCACCAATTAAAATATAAATTACTAATATTCATTTTTGGGCGATTCTACGGTCTCGTTACGGAACCAATCTCTCGGGGTTTGTAACCATTAGATTAACAGTTACAAATCCCTACGGAATGGTTCTGTAACGTGACGGTAGCATTTCCCTTCAATTTTATTAATATTTTGTTCAAAATACAATTATAGCACCAATTATAACATGAAAAAATTATTTATTTATTTTTTTATTTTCAGTACCCCTTTTCTACCAATAAAATCTGCAATTCTGCCACTTGTAATTGCACCAATCATAGCACCAATTGTGATTATGGATCCAAATAATGAGTACTGCAAAACAGATACAAGTCTCACATCAATAAATATGATAAATGACACTTTTAATAATTGATTAATAGGAAATAACAAAATTTAAAAAAATAAAATAAAAAATTAGTACCTGGGACAGAGATAATTTAAGGTCATTTCTTATAGCTGATTGAGTGGGTGAAGAATATCCCACCTGCAAAAAAAAAAAAAAAAAAAATTAACTTAAGCTGAAATTTTCCTATTTTTTCCCCCCTTTAATGTGTTTCCCTTGTGTGTGTATATTTTGTTATATGTTTGATGGGCATCCTGAGCAACAAGAAAACATTAAAAAAAAAACTTGTTAATATACAAGCTTTTTATTTGTTCATAGAAGTATTCACCATCAAATCTATCATCATGAAATACTAATAATAATAATAATAATAATAATAATAATAATAATAATAATAATAATAATAATAATAATAATGCAAAGACAAAATTGCAATTCTAGTCCTGTTGGTTTAATCCAGTGGCGTTTTTAGTTTTCAGATCTGAATATTTTGTTATTTAATTCTATGATTTAAAAATTCAAGGCAATTTCAGTCCTTTGAGAACTAAAATTGCAACAAAATTTAAAATTATAGGACTTAATTGCTAATAAAAAAAATTATTGGAATGAATTTTTTATTAGCAGTTTAAGTCTTGTAATTCTAAGTTTTGTTACAATTTCAGTCATTGATGACTAAATTTGCAGCAAAATACTAAATTACAAGATCAAAAAGCAAAAAGTTGGAATCTTGGGACTAAAAATGTTATGCCGTTAAACCAACACGAGTAAAAATGCAATTTTGCCATAATGCAAATAATAAAACAAAATTTAACATATGAAACGTACACATGAACCAAATTCAAAAGAGCCACAAACAGCAACACATGTACTCAACAAAACCATCCAAATCGATCCATTCTCGTCGTCTTCGTCGTCCGAATCGACCCTTTTAGCTTCTTGAATAAAGGGCTTCTCCAAATCTCCAATCCCATTTTCAACATCTTTGCATTCACCAATAGCCATACCTACTATATAAAGAAAAAAAATATGAAAAAAAAAAATATGAAAAAAATCTTTTTCTTTCAAAAACTTTATATGTGAAAATAGTATGAAGTGTATATGTGCATTAGGTCCTCTGTTTTTCCTGTTTATATACATGCAATGCAGAGTGCAGCTGGTGAAGATATTTATTTATTTATTCATTATTTATATAGATATTTATTTATTTTATTCATTCTTTGTGCTGAGATAAACATTGAAGGTTGTCTTTTTATCAATGATTAGGTAGTGTCATTAATAATCAATGAGATATTGTGGCAGCTTACTGTGATTGTGAAGCAATACAAAATTAGGATTCATGTGGAATGAAGCTGGCACTGACGAGGGTTCCTGTCAGCTCCTCCCATGCTATCCTATTTTCTGCAACAAAATTGATTGTTTTTATTCAGACCAAATCGGGGTCTAATTGACCTTTGTCTAGTGGTTGGCCCATTCTTGGCAAAAAATTTGAAAACATATGCACCAAATTAGATTATTTTAGAAAAATACATCAAGTACTTGACCTTATCATGACAGATAGAATATGAAATTTTAGGGATGCTAGTAGTTGCTTGTGTTGAAGTGGAATGTCCTTTCCATTATGATTGTTCCCTTTTTAACTTATAAAGATAGCTTATTGAAATTATATTATATGAAAGCATTATTTTATCTTATACTTTTGTATTTGTTACTTATTTGTACATGTGATAAAGTTCTTAAGGTCGATATTTAACTTTTTTTTTTTTTTTTTTTTTCGTTGGAACGATTGGAACTTTTATAGATAAAACCCTTATGTATGTATAGAAACCAGTTAAACAACTAACTGAAGCAGCTATAGAGCAGAATATCTAAATGCAAGACAGACTCGAAACTCGCGTAGAGACTAACAAACTCCCAACGGCAGACTACAAAACTCCAACAAGTGGAGATTACGAATAACAAACTCCCAAAGAGGGAGAAAAGAAACAAAACACACAAGTATACAAGAAAAAAACCTAATTGATATACTAAAGTCCTCTCCACCAGCGACCAAGTCAATTCTAGAAGCCTCAAGCGATCCAACACATAAGGCAACCACCTAAGCGGGATCAAATCCAGGATCGGCTAGCTAGAATCGGACAAAAAACGAGACTCTACCTAGAAGGCCAGTACCAGATCGACACAAGTAAAACCGCGCTCTACACACCCCAGCTCGGTCGACGACCACAACTCACCAGGACTTGCACCTGCCGACAGCCCCTATTGACCCAACACCAGGGTCGAACAAAGGTTGGAGTGTCAGAGCAACAGACTTCCAGCACCTACCGCCAATAGACTTGGTGTGAGGAGATGGGCATCAAGCAGCACATTGCATCAGTGGATCATCCACAGACAAATGGGCAAGCATAAGTGACCAATAGAACCATACTGAGGGAATTGAAGACTCGACTTAGGTTCTTGGGTAGATGAGCTCGACACAATGCTTTGGTCATACAGAACTGCGACAAGATCAACAACAGGGGAAATGCCATTCAACTTGGTCTATGGAATGGAAGTTGTGATTCCAGTGGAAGTCGGTTATAGCGCTCAACGGGTAACCATGTTTAAGGCATGACAAAATGCGGGTAACCATGTTTGAGGCATTTGAGCTGATAGACAAGGCACGGAATCAAGCCTGGTTGAGAACAATGCAGTATAAGCAGAAGATGTGCATAGCCCATGACAAGAAGGTGAAGAAAAGGCAGTTTCAAGTGGTTGATCTGGTATGAAGGGGAGCTGATGTGCTGAAGCATGTTGGGAAATTAGAGCCAAATTGGGAAGGGTTGTACATCATCCAGAAGGTGCTTGCTGGAGGAGCTTATGAGCAGAAGGATCCAGATGGTAAGGTCTTCTCTAGGCCTCGGAATGTTGACAATCTCAACAAATATTACTGTTAATTGATTCTAGCTTTGAGTGGTACTTATAACACTTGTGCTTGGGTTGATGAATGAGTCGAGTATCAATGGAAAGATTGTGAACTGAAGCATTTTTTGTGTAATTTTTTTTATTTTTTCTCTAAGTGTAAACAACTCGCTATGTGGTGCAACAAGTATGACGGCTTAAGGTCGAGCTCTATGCGCTTGGGTGTTGTTCAATGGTGTGACGACTTAAGGTAAAGCTCTTATGAGCTCAGGTGTTGTTTGATAGTCTGATGGCTTAAGGCCGAGCTCTAATGACATCGGGTGTTGTTCAAAGGTGTGACGGCTTAAGGCCAGGCTCTTATGAGCTCGAGTGCTGTTCAATGGTATGCGGCTTAAGGCCGAGCTCTGATGAGATCGGGTGCTGTTCAATGGTGTGACGGATTAAGGCTGAGTTCTCATGAGCTCGGGTGTTGTTCGATAGTGTGACAGCTTAAGGCCGAGCTCTCATGAGCTCGGGTGTTTTTTGATGGTGTGACGGCTTAAGGGTGAGCTCTAATGATCTCGAGTGTTGTTCAATGGTGTGACAACTTAAGGCTAAGCTCTTATAAGCTCGGGTGTAGTTCGATGGTGTGACGGCTTAAGGCCGAGTTTTCATAAGCTCTGGTGTTGTTCGATGGTGTGACGACTTAAAGCCGAGCTCTCATGAGCTCGGGTGTTGTTCGATATTGTGACGGCTTAAAGTCGAACTCTCATGAGCTCGGGTGTTTTTTGATGGTGTGATGGCTTAAAGTCGAGCTCTTATGAGCCCGTGTGTTGTTCGATGGTGAGACGACTTAAAGCCGAGCTGTAACACCCCGCCTACTTATTCTTGAAATAATATAATCAGAGTAAAATCTTTGCTTTTTATTTTCGAAAAACTCTTTAACTTTACTTTCGAAAATACTCATGCTGACTCGCGGGATGCTACTAAATGATCTCTTTCTCATGCAGACGTAAATAAATACATTCAACTTAATCAAATACGTTATATAAAGGTAACACGTAGATAGAGGAATTATACATGCATACGTCTGAAGTCTCATGTAATAACATGCTAGTTCTGAAAACGCGGAAGCTAAAACATATTGAATACACGCATAAAAGTAATAATACATGTTCATATGAATGACATGCAAATGCGTTACAAAAGTACTATTCATGACCACGCGCCACTAGTGCTCATGCGCCACGGGCCGCTCCGTCACTTGAAAAATGTAATGGGGGCGTGGGCAAAACCACTATGCTCCGCAAAGACCAGTACTTAATTAAACAACATCGTTAATAACTATATCATGACTTGAGTATATAAGTACTGAGCTAAACTGAAACTGTACTGGGCGTCTAGTGGTCATAAAGACCATGGGCTTAAAGCCGCTAAATCATGTGCACACTCCGGGAGATCATTAAGGCCCGTTAAGGCCTCCCTCAGAACCACGAGGGATCATGAAAGCCCGCCACGACCTCCCGCAATGGTGAACAAACTATTTCTCATACATACCTCGGACATGGTACGGAAATTAAAGACGATGTAACCAGTACGTGATTCCAACCTAATAAGCTGCTACTGCTAGGAAAGTGCTGGATGACTGGTAGATGTCGGAGGCTCGACTCTTCTTAAGCTTGATAAATGTTCGAGCAAAATGTACCAAGTACTAAGCTCAAACTGATAACTGATTCTTATTATTATCTGATCTTACTAGGTTCTCTCACTCGATTATAAAATTGTTTAATCTGGATTTAGAGGATTTGAGCTATTCTGGAACGATTTGTTGACTTTGAGGCATTCTAGAGTTCTCTGAAATATTTCTAAGTCTGGTATGCTTATCTGATTTATCTGATCTAGCTTATCTGACTGATACGATTTTTATTTGAAATATCTTTTACTGATCTGACTTATCTAGCTGGGTTCGAAAAAGTACTGAATCTCGGTTCACGCTCAAACTGGTATTCCGAACTGATAATCTCGAATCGTCCAGACTATCAGGACTGATTCAGCTGAACTGGACCGACGACTTGATCTGAACCGGCCGGTTGCTCGCCTGACTGGGTGCAACTCGGCTTAACTGTGGTCCGGGTACATACGCACGGACACGGCAACAGCCGACGCACAACTTCTCTACTCGGATCTAGAGTTCATCTGGACTGACCGGAAAAAGGCTGAACTAGGGTTCTCTACTCAACCGGCTATCTACCTCGGTTTAAGCCGAAACTCAAACCCTACGTTCAACGTGATTTCTAGTGATTTTAGGCCCAACAACTGCTAAATCTCAACCGACATAATATCTAGCATTTTTAATAAAAGCAACTAAAGCCCCAAATTATTAGGCATACCAAACACTCTCCAAAATTTGCAAAATTTCAAACATATCACATTTAGCATTTATAAGATTTTTCCACAAAGTTTCAATGCATTTTGAGGCCTTTAGTATTTTTATCAAAAACCAAGCATATCGACTACATATTAAACAAATCCGGTTAAAATAGTAAACGAGCACCAAAAATCACGAAACTTAAAATATAACCTCATCAACATGTATAAAGTCCAAGGTCAAAACATCAAGTCTCAAGTCAACACCTATCACGTTCAACTCAAATTTACTACGACCGACAATTTACTCGAACCACTAGTTCGCCTATCAAACGGATACTAAAAATTAATCTGATTATACCTTAAGCCTCAAGTTAACGGGACGAATTTAGTCATATTTATTACGGCATTTTATCACATTTATCAAAAAATCCCGATTAATTCGCTTCGAGCTCATGTGTCCCGGTTTAACCAAAATTGCTCAACTCAACACATCATTTTCTCTTATATCATTTTAATCATCAAGTATAAGACATATAAATCGATTTTTAGCTATTATACCTCAAAACGTTCGAAAACGAGCGGATCGGGAATAGATCGGGCTAAGAAGTGTAGCAAAAATTGAGCAACAGGTTCGAATCTTGAGTGCTTGGGTCGGATCTCGGCTATGGGGCTGCTATCGGGCCGATTTGCTGCTGAAAGTCACGGATCTGGGCTAAAGAGCTGCTGACCGGGTTGAACTCGAGGTGTTTGAGCGA